CTTCTACATTGATGAGTATCACAGATCCTAATAAGTATAAAAATAGATATACCTTTAAGAGATTCTTGCTTACTCTGTTACTTCTCTTGAAGATTACGCGTATCATTAATGTTCTTAGCATAAAGATTAAGTCGTTACCAAAAACGAATGACAAATTTAAGGCATCAGTGCACGGAAGTGTGTTTACTCAGAATATCTCTCTCAAGTCCTTGTATCAACAGAAGCGAATAGCTTCCAAAGTACAAAATACTTGACTGCAAGCAATTATATTGAAGCAACCAAAGTACGAGTGGTCGCTGAAATATTATCAGCGTTTTCCATATCTCTAAATCTGAGCATTATTTTGTCGTGGATAGAAATATTGTTTTTTTTTCATGACGGAAAGTGCGACACTGAACTTCAAAGACGCAATGGAATAGCGAAAGACGCCTTCTGAAAGCTAAGAACAGTATTAAGAAACTGGAAAAAATTCGTTAGAAACAAAGAAAAGAGTATTGAAACTTTACGTAATATCATTCCTCCTATACGACAGTGAATGCTGGAATACTTCCTTACAGATGAAGAAAAGGCTTAAAGCAGCAGAAATGTGATTCTGCAGAAGGATGCTGAGAATGCCATGGACCGAACATGTGAGAAATGGTGTAGGTTTAGAGAAAATGGAAACAAAAAGGAAGCTTAGATGTAACATCAGCAAGAGACAGTTGATATTTCTAGGACACATAATGAGGAAAGAGGGCTACGAAAATTTGATACTCAAAGGACAAATCGAAGGCACCGCGGGAAAAATAAACTTGAGTATATGGATGGCGGAACAAGGTTTAGGAGAGATAACAAAAATCTATAAATGAAAAGGAAATTGTTGAGGGCCGTGATCACTAATGTTTTAAAAAGAAATACATATAGAACAAAAAGTATCCGAATGGCTGATATAAGAAAAATTCTAAACTCGCTTTTCGGAAATCTAATGATTCAAAACGTTATACCGTAATATCAGCCTTACCTTGCTATTCGGTTAGAAAGGAAATTAAATAAAACTTAACCCATTTAAAAAAAATCAATGGAGCAAAGGAGTAATGAATTTCTCCTTTAGTTTTACTCTGCAATGTATTAGAACACCTGCACTATAATTTGGCAAGTCTGTTGGTGACATGGGAAGCCGATGTCTGTATACGTATGATTTCAAAATGTCGTAGACATAACCTTATTAGGAGCAGGTTAAACTGCTTTGGCCATGTGATCATAAGAGGGAAGATTTACAAAAATATTTTATAGATTTGTGTATAGACCTTACACAGACAGGGTTTCTGACACATGATCATGTGGTAGGCTGCACAACTAAATGGGAAAACTAAATCAGAAAAGACACCAGAATGCCACTTCTGATATTTGAAAGCATTGTCTTGAAAGAAAGAAATAGGAAAATTCTATGAAGAAGTGCGAAAAGATATATTTGGGATTATTTACATTTTTCGGACTATTGTCCTCAGCTTTGTTGCCATATTTATCACACCGTTTCGGTCGATGTACGCTCTGGTTTTTTCAGGTGTTTGAAATGTCGAACCATTATTTCGCTCGCTGGGGTAGACTGCTCTAGTTTCACGTGCCATGTCTAATGGATGTTAGTTATCAGTTATCTCTCATTAATTCCCCTCTCCAAGTTATCCACTGTCTTAACAAGGTATTGGACTCACAACTTTTTGGTCCTGTCACTGGATCGAACTAACGCCTTTATCCACTGTGTCATGTGTCCTTAAGGAAACATTGTGATAAACATGGCAACAAAAATGAGGACAATAGTCCGAATAATATAAATAGTGTACATAACAGCTCATCTCAGTGATATAGACAGATATTTGGGATTATTCAACTAATTCGCAGAATCATTGGTCCTATTTTTATTCAAATGTTTCAGATTTTAGACTGAACCAGAGGCTAAAAAAGGAAGTAGAATTTTTAATTGTTGAACACCAGATCGTCAGTAAGCCTCTCTTCTGGTAGAAGAAAACTCCAAAGGAAATCTTTGAGGAACAAGTCTCCGTCATATGAAACTAAGAAGAGCTAGTGTACCAATTTTAATCGTGGTAATTACGAAAACCGACCACACAACTAGGAGTGAGAGAGAGAACCTTAAAAATGTCAACTCTTGAAACGTACTTATGGCAGAACGACGAATGTCGGCCAGGAGAAATGATAAAAAAATCAGAGAACGGATTGGGTTTATAAATCATCATCACTTGGACATGCAAATGACAAACTGTTTGAAGGTCGACTAGATACAATATCGATTGGGTTGAACAGCTTGATATTATAACATTTTCAACGATATATTATTAACTTTTTGAAACGAGCTTTAACTGTCGATGAAATAGATTTGCACAGTTATGCTTCGGAGACAAAACAACATTTCATGCAGTAACTGAACACTCTTTCTTTCAGACAATATAATTCGAGACACAGAAGTCAGAAGGAAAGGTGATGGATATGGTACTTTATGTAAAGTAAGGCATCTTTGGAACGAATAAAGAATGAAAAATATTCATCGAACTCGCTGGGTCGATTAAAAGAAGGCGTTAAAAAAAACGGTCAGGAAATTCATCTTATCACAATTGGTTGGAAAAAACGATGTATATTCTTCGTAAAATTAAGCATTTGAATAGTTTAGGTAAAATGAACTGCTTCCACGCAGAAAAAATTTTGATATTCACTGATCACTTTATGAAATAATTTTTTAAAGAGGAAATTAGAAATCTCAGTTCTGTTAAGGGTTACATCTCTTTCTAATAGTAACTGAGGTTTCCTTCCAAAGCTTTGGTTGTTGATAGTCTGGAAAGCTAAAACCTTGATTATATTATTATTGTCTCTTCTAGTGACATGTGTTAATCATTTTTGTTGTTGCTGCTGTTGGAACTCTTCAAGTGATGATGTATTTTGGTAAAGTTCTATGATTATGTATCGCCAATCTGAATGGTCTGATAAGGGATCCTCTTTTCGTTGTTTTTATCAGTAGATACCTTTCTGGATGTGTTACGTTATATTTAAATATACTACATTCATTTTGTCACATCTGTACTTATAAACGCTCAAAGCATATTCTAAATATGTGAAAAAAAGATTGGCATGCATAGAATTTCACTAGATTTCCCGCCATTTATTTCCTGGTATGATGAATATCACCTGCGTTTCAAGGCTCCCTTCTTTGTCGAATTAAGAACTTTTCAGCACCCCCGTATATGACATTTCTAGATATGTAACAGCTGTCGATGGAAATATAATATCCGGAGCTTATATGATATTTAGATATTTTTTTAAGCATTTCACGCCTAGCAAGGCGGGAAGCCACTAGCACGCAAGGGGTTATAGAGGATTTGGAGCGAGAGCAGATAGGAGTGATAGAGGAAAGGATGAGGAGAAGGATAGAGGATAGATCAAGGCAACTGGAGATGTCGATTGACATTACATTTGAATAGTTGGGGATTATAGCTATCAGGGAAACAGGAATATGTAACAACTAACTAAAAAATAGATTAGAAATTGTTCCCCTCAACTATACACTATCTGGATTAATCGACATAAAAAGACAAGTAAAGAATGAAGTTAAACATGAAAGAAATATATGTAGAAGGGTAGAGAAATCAAGAAGCCTCGACGGTTTGATAGGAAAATATTAGCAGTTGAGGCTGTATTCAAATCATTTCTCTTTTACTTATAACTAGCGAGAGGTACCCAAATGTGTGAACTTTGAATTTGTGACATCAGAATGAGGCAAGCACAAAAATTGAACAATTTGAGTAGTGTACAGTGGCGTAGCTGGAGGTGTGGTCCACCCAGCATGGCACGTTTATGGGGGATGCACTTTTGTGTCTGCTGTAGGCGATAAGCCTGCATAAGCTGTATTGAAATAATAGTGGCTTTAATAGTCCCAGTTGAAGGATCTTTTCGATTACGAACAACTTAAACTATGGTATATTTATAAATTGGCCTATCTGGAGCACCGCGAGTCTGTGTAATGGTTAGCAAACTTGTCTCGCTAGAACACTTCCGACTAATAGTGAGTTCGATCCTTAGTGGGTGTCCCGTACTTTAGGCCTTGTGCCACATCTAAGCTACGCTTGGAAATCACTGTATCGATTTGTCTATAGAGCGACAGTTGAAACAGTTTTTGATTAGGTCGTTGAAGAATTCGCCAATAACAGCAAGAAAAGTTACTTAGAAGTTTTCATTTTCATTTCAGAAATAAAGATGGTCCTGACTTTTTACACTAATAGTCGTTTTTTTTTTGTTTTTGCTTTTTAACGATTACTGATAAAGTTTAAGTATGTTTGGTGTGTATTTATGGCATACTAAGTTTGAGTATGGGAAAGTAATATTATAATGGTACACACAGTAGTTTTATATCTTTAAGAACGAGACACTGTGTAGTATGTAGTTTTTGTAGCTGCTGGGGCGGCAAACTCAAGAGTTGCCTCGAGAGGTACACAGTCTAACTATGCTACTGGTAGTGTAATAATAAATGACTGAAGAGTGTAAAGCAGATCCACAAAGACGAATCAAAATACTGAACGCCTTTCAGAAACTTTGCTAAGCATTAAAACGGGAATATTTCGTAAGACACAAAGAAAACAGTGCTGAACTGCTACATGATGTCCATCCTCTTGTGGCAGTAAATTCTGGACAATTTTCTTACAGCTGAAGAAGCGATTCAGTTGACAAAGATATGGTTCTACATTCGATTGGTCAGTTTTTACGGCTTATCAACTTTTTTGCAGGTTAATTAAATCCAGAAAATATTTTTAGATTGCAAGAATTTTTTTGGAGATAATAAAGATTTAGTGATACAAGTTTTACTAATTAAGCCATAGCTGCGAGAAAAAGAGGTTGATTCATATCTTTCAAAAGGGTATTTGCGCATAAGGAATTATAACGACACGGCTGGAAATCGAACTCGGCTCTCCGATTAACAATTCCGAGTCGTCATTCATTACATCACACGCACATTCAAGCTTACAGCACCTGCTATTCTAAAGCGTTCATCCCACTAGTTACAAACCAGGCTCGGCCTTGCTTAACTTCGCTGATCACACGGGAACCGGTGTTTTAATACGATGTGGCGGTAAACATACAATGGACTGGAATTTGTGGAGAGCCATGATCATTCACGTCCTGAAGGACACTGCACATAAATTATGATGACGATTACTGATCATTATTTTAAGCTACATGTTCGTATTTTCGGATTTTGATTTATTTAATTAAGAATAAGTCTGGTACAAAGTCAAAGCAAAGGAGCACTTAAGACTGAACCCATCATCATTGTGCACATTTTAACGAAACTGCACTGTCAACCCTTGTCGGAATGTCTGGCCGGTTTGATCAATGCAGTGTTCTAAGCAACCTTTGCGAGTTATAATGTATATTAAGTTCTCTGAGTTGCACGATATCTATCTATCTATCTATCTATCTATCTATCTATCTATCTATCTATCTATCTATGCCTCTCCACTATCTATCTATCTATCTATCTATCTATCTATCTATCTATCTATCTATGCCTCTCCACTATCTATCTATCTATCTATCTATCTATCTATCTATCTATCTATGCCTCTCCACTATCTATCTATCTATCTATCTATCTATCTATCTATCTATCTATCTATCTATCTATCTATCTGCCTTTCCCCTATCTATCTATCTCTCTCTCTATCTATCTATCTATCTATCTATCTATCTGCCTCTCCCTTATCTATCTATCTATCTATCTATCTATCTATCTATCTATCTATCTATCTATCTATCTATCTATCTATCTATCTGCCTCTCCCTTATCTATCTATCTATCTATCTATCTATCTATCTATCTATCTATCTATCTATCTGCCTCTCCCTTATCTATCTATCTATCTATCTATCTATCTATCTATCTATCTATCTATCTATCTATCTATCTATCTATCTCCGCATTTGTGTGAGTTTGTATATAGGAGTGTGTGTAGTCAGCCGAAGAGTATTGTCATACATGTTTTGGTGCGTTTTTTAAATTTCTTTTTCTCCGAATATTAAGAAGAATAAGGAGGAATTATTTTGTGGTGATTGAAAAGAAAAGAACGTGAGAAAAAGGTTTATTTCTCGAGTTGGTAAGGCTTCTAGTTGATGTGAATTAAAGAATTTCCGAATTGCTTTTTATATTATTTTTAGAAAACCAGTGAAAATAAAATAAAAATAAAATTTAAAAAATACAGACACATAAAATAGTGGAAGATGTTTTCCTTTGTGATCTTAATCTAAATATAAAATAAAACATTTTGACCACGAGAAACTGGAGGAACATTTACGTTTGAGAATTTTGGAGAGAGACGTTTTGCCGCCAGAGAACTGTCATACAACCCAAAATCAAGACAGTCTACCTCATAACATTGAGTTTACGAATAAACATGTACTGTCTTTTAAATAAATGAGATTACTTTCCGCAAGCATATTTTTAATGAGATATTTATTCTTCCCGCCTTGAACATCGCTATGAGAATTGCGCCTTCGAAAAACGACAATAGACCTGGGAGAGTGTAAGATGCAAAGTCAGCCATTACTAAGAGGATTACTTATTTATTTTTGCAATATGCAAATTGAACAATCGACAGAGACTAAAAGTAGAGCCTAGTAAGTGAAGAAATTTATTTACAGCATTCATGATATAATCTCGATATATTAAAATGGCAAAAGTGTTAAATTAGAAATTTAATAAAATTGCAAATTTAGTTTTTCTGTCTTTTCATCAATGTAATTCACAACGAATCGAATCATTTGGTTGATAGCCCTGCACCAGTTGAAACCATACAAGATACAGCTGATGGTTTTTTGTTTTGTAAATAAATGAGTTTATTCAAGTAAAATATTTAACCTAATTAATATTATTCTTTGATTTACAACTGGAGTTACTATTTTGATACCATAGTACTATCCAAATGACAACGTTTAATATTCCTACTTCCCTAGATGTATTAAATTGAGAGACGGGGGCAGGAGGGAGGATGATGATAAGAATTCAAGTTGGCGTGAGGGGCCATAAAGATCTCATATTAGAATGAAGCGGGCCAAGGTTGAGAAACATTGCTCTAGAGAGTCGGTTAAAGAATGCAAAGGGTAAACACTACATTATATTTCTCAGGAAAGCATGGCAATTGGTAGATAATAAAGAAAAGGATACTATGGTAAGCTATGATTGTCTTGTCCTGAAGAGAGTTGGTATTTTAGAAATTAAACTGAAATTCAAAATATAAAATAACTCGGTTCTACTTTTAGTCTCTGTCCTCAAGGACACATGGCACAGTGGATAAAGGCGTTGGTTAAATCTAGTGACAGACCCAAAAGAAGGTGAGTTCAATTCCTGGTTAAGGCAGTGGAGAACTTTCAGAGGGAAAATTAGCAGGAGATAACTGATAACTGACATCCATCAAACATGGCACGTGGAACTAGAACAGTCTACCCCAGTGATCGAAATAAAGGGTTCAGTTCGAAATTCCAACCACCTGAAGAAGGCCGGAGCGTACAACGGCCGAAAAGTTGTCCGACTAATGTAAATACTGTACATAATACCTCATCTCAGAAATATAGACAGATTATAAAATAACTGTTTTACTCTGCAGCATGTTTCCCGCAGACACAACGCTGCAAACAATCATTATAACCAAATCTCAAAACCACCTGATATTAAATATAAAAGACCCCCAAAACACGCCACTATTGTCCTTCGGGACGGTGGCATCGTAGATATTAGAGTTGATGATATACGTGTTCCTGTCATCTAGTGTTCGAATCCCTGAAACACCGATTCAGCAGCAACAAACAATAACTGACATCACAGGGATAAAATATCACGATAATCAACAGATATCCCATATCAGCAAATCAATGAACACCTGATTATGTCCACAGGGTTCTTGGTCGAAACATATCATCTATATCAACGAAGTTGAGAACAACGGTCCGAAATAATGCGAGACTAAAGGCAACGTTGCAATCTTCTCATCATTCTATAGCAATTTCCATGGCAAATGTTCTGTTCTTTAGTTCTGTTCTTTAGTTCCACATCTAGGAGTTGCCATGCTACGGCCACGAATCAAATCTATCAAATTTCTTCCGTATTCCATTTGTAAAGAAGAAGTTCCACTCAGTTAAATTTTCTGATAACTGCTACTCTGTCGAACAATCTCCCACCTGGGTGATACCCAGAACACTACAAACTGAACCCCTTTTAAGTCAAAGGTCAATCGATATCTATCCTTCTTATCCTCGTAATCTTGACTTCCTTATTCCACCCCCCTTACATTCAGATCGCACACCACATTCAGTAAACAGTTGAATCTTTTATAAGGTGAACCTTAGTAGAAAAAAAGAGAAGTTCAAGCGTGTAGCGTACACCTGAACAAACACAGAGAGCCAGGTAGACGAAGAAAGACATTTTCCGCTAACGCCATAAAATATCTTTGATGTTGGAGAATCAAAACTTTCAACCTTTCCCCTGAGACTTCCATTTTTCTTAGCACCCAGGAAACAAGATTTTATAAACAATAGAAACTGATAGATTTAATTCGTTTCATTAGTTCTATGTTTTGTGTTACTCCAGGACGTGGACGATCATTGATCTCCAGAATGTCAGGTCTTTTGTAGCTCTTAGATATTTTCTTTTCGCTCTCCTAATACCTGTTCTGCCAGGCATTTACGCAAGTTCTTTAGGTAGGATATTCGCTGGAGAGGGAAGCAAAATAATTTTATTGCTATTTGGTTGAGATTAATTCACGAGGACACGTGACAGACTGTGACTGGCGTCAGATAGAGTTTCAAACGTCAGTTGCTATTTATCACGCCCGGAGGCAAGGCGTGTCTGCCTAAACCAGTTAGCCGAGGAGAAGACAGATATCAGAAGCCCACAGCCGTACTGTAAATAAACGAACCCACATGGTTGCACTAGAAACATAAAGGAATCACCGACCTGGCTTTTCCCCGTTGGGAAACATGACAAGTAAGAACCTCTCTCTTTCCACCTCTTTCACACTGATATATATATATATATATATATATATATATATATATATATATATATATATATATAAACGTTTCTCTGTGTGTAAGAAATTAGTAACGCGTATGTATATGTCGGTAAAAAAAATCTGAGATCCATGTATGTTTGTCATTCCTTTCTTTCACGAATATGTATGTATGCATGTATAGCTGGCCATTCGTATTCGATGATACTCATCTGGCCACTCCCCATTGCAGACTCTTGCTCAGGCACATTTGTGTTTATTGAACACCCACAACGTCCACCTGTGGTTTATACTGCAACTGAGCAGACCTTAGTTAAGTTTCTGGGAAAGGTGTTATGTAGCATGATCAACAGTTTGAACAATGCATGAGCCAGCACGCTCAAGCCCTTGTGACTTTGTGCTAGGACAGCTACCGACGGCCCCCAAGAGTTCTGTTTACCCAATTTCATTCACGTGGTATTGTTTTCAGGCACTTTCCAGAGATGCCGGACGCTGGTATCGACCCCTCCATTCTGATAATATCAGAAAGTCTCCTACCTGACAAATCGACCCTGGTGAGATTCGAACCCGAGTCTCATGGTCTGAATGCGAACGTTCTAACCATTGGGCTACGTATACAATACTTCCCATAATGGGTAAGTACGTAAGTACAAACTGGGAATAGTCTTTTTTGTTTTTTACCTAGAACGCACATTAGCTGCTTTCTTTATCCCTCTTGCCTTGAATATTTCCTGTCCTTGTACAATTTTCTAAGTCCTTTTCTCCCATCCTACGCTTGCGAAATTTCAACCTTTTTTTTTTCTGATTCTAAGTATAAGTGTCTTTTCCGTTTCTATTTTCTCTAAGATTTCATCATTGATCATTTTTTCAGTCGCTTTCCTCGTAGAGACCAACGAAAATATTCTAGAATTCAGCTGTCTTTTTCTTCGAGAGAACGATAGACTTCCATACATATTAGGATTCGGTACATTTTAGGCTTCCATACATTTTAGGCTTCAATAATAATCATCATCATCCTTCGACCTCCCTATGGTTGGTTGGAACTCTACTGACAATCCC